TAGAGGGGCATAGGCAGAAACCAGGAGGCCTGGGTTCTAGTAATGGCCCTGCCAATGGTTAGGTGTGTGACCTTGGGCAAAATGACATTGCCAAGTGTCACTGTCTTTACTTACAAAACAAAGGGGTTGGCATTGACACGGAGGCTCACGGAACCTTAGAGCTCAATGACTTACTGTCATTTTACAGGTAGGTAAACTGAGGTATAGAGTGGCCATTCAGTTTACCCAAGGTCACGTAGGTAGGTGATGTTAAGACTTGAGACCTCAGTTTAGGCTTTCTGCCTCCTGGATTGCGGTGGGACTGGATGGAAGGAGGGAGCCTTTCAGGAGACCATGGAGGGAACTAGGTAAGGATGACTTTTCCTTCACATCGAAGATTCCAGAGCTTCAATAAAAACGGGGGGCAAAAGGGTCCAGCCCTGGCTGGTGTGGTTCAGTAGACTGAGTGCCAGCCTGCGAACCGAAGTCACTGGTTTAATTCCCAGTCAGAACACATGCCTGGGTTGCAGGCCAGGTCCCTAGTTAGAGGTGTGTGAGAGGCAACAGATGGATGTTTCTCTCCTTCTCTTTTTCCCTCCCTTCCCCTTTCTCTAAAAATAAATCAGTAAAATATTTATTAAAAAAATATTCCAGGGCTTAAAGTAGTGCTTCTCACCTAGGGGCTATTTTACCCCCCAGGGGACATTTGGCAAATGTCTAGAGACAGTTTTGACTGTTGAAGCTGGGGCAGGGGGTGTGGGGCATTTAGCCAGTAGAGGCCAGGGCGCTGTAAGCACAGGGCAGAGAATGACCCCGCCCAGGAAGTTGTCAGTGCTGAGACCCAGACCCCAGGTGGACGCCATCCCCCTCCCCCCACAGCCACCTTCCCTGGAGTTGTGAAAATTCTTGCTTCCTTACCTTCAGCCTCACAGGAACTATCTTTTTGTGAGTTTGCTGTTGATGCTGACTTTGAAAATAGTTTTTTCCTAAATATAAAAATCACCCATGCTCACTTTAGAGAATTTAGAATATTCAGAAATGTACAAAAAAAAATCGATCCCACTGCACACAGCTAACTAGTGTGAATATTTTGGTATTTGGCATTTTTTTCAGATTACCCGAGAGTCACTGGGCACCCTCTGCTCTCTCATGTCGTTCCCCTCCCCCACCTCCGTCACCACCCTCGACCCCTCCCAGAAGCATCACCGGTCACTCGGTACCTCACCCACCGCTCCTGTCTCTGTATCGCTGCGGCGCATTGCACCTCACAGATGTCTATTTTGACAGTTTTTTAAAATTTGTTTTTATTCCAGTTTGGCATAAATGCTTTGAAGATGGAGGCCAACTTTTAGCCGACTGAATGCGTGTTCTCTTTCCAGCTGGTTCTCTCTCTCCAGTTCGCATGCGCGCATGCACGCACACCCACACGTGGCACCTAAGACGGATCTGTCCTGTTTCGTCTTCTGACGTCACCGTCACCGTACTCTGACTCCCAGACTAAATAACCATCTTTTCATTCTTAGTCACAGAGAACATTTCAATCTGTGGCTTTTGGCTCCATCAAATGGGATTATTCCGGAGCTCTTCTTTCTGGCTGCATGAATTTTGAAGATATGTAACTACATAATAAACACTAAAAGCTTTAATTTAAGGATTCCCTAGTTTCTGACTCAACCAAAACTACAATAGAGGTATTACTGACAGCTTTTTACACATGTGAACACTGAGGCTTAGCTCGGCGTGGCAACTTGCCCAGGGTAGGGGATGTGGCGCTGGGAGTTCCCCCAGGGCTGGCTCCATGGCTACCTGCTCTTCCCTGAAGTTTCCCGAGCCCTGTGCAATCAGCCTGCTCCCGCCCACCGGTTTCTATAGCGAGGGGCAGCAGGCAGGTGCATCAGAGCCTGAGGTCTGGGTTGCCCCAGGTAAAGCTTCTCCCTAGAGGGGAGTGACAGAGCCTGACCTGGCCATGGGAGCCTCTGGTCTGCAGTGGGGAGAGCTGCCGAGGCCCTGGTGGACAAGGAGTGTGCACTCTGAGGTCCTAGGAGGCAAAGCATTCCTGAGCTTGATGAGTGGCCTGTGGACAGTGGCATCTGGAAGTCATGCCTCTGGGTCTGGTGCTTCTCGCCGCTTTGTGTTAAGTGTACTACAGAGGAGGCCAGTGACAGGTGGCTTCCTCTGCAGACATCTGTCTCCTGGAGGTCCACAGCCTCTCTTGGCACGGGGCTGGCTGATCAGCTGGCCTGAGCAAGAGGGGTCAGGGGCTGACCTCACTAGAGGAGGTCACATCTCTCCTTCCCTGACAGCCCCTTCCTTCCCAGTCAGGCCCAGCCCTGCTCTCCGAGCTTCTGACATCTTTTCAACTACTTTACAGAGGTTCTCTTCTTTCGTGGTGTGGCAGCCTAAGTCCAGGTTCTAGGTCAGGGTTAGCTTTGTCTCTAGCACAGTTCTTCCAATGAAATGATCTTGAGCATTGAGCAAGATCTTCACTGAGCAAGATCAATGAAATGATCTTGAGCTGCTTGCCTTCTCAGAGACTCAGTTTCTCTATGAATAACATTGGAAGAATGACACCCCACCTCACAGGGCTAGGATAAGGATCACACGGATGACAAAGGGAAACTAACATGTCGTAGGTGCTCAAAAAAATCTCTCTCCTCCTTTCTGGTAGACATCGGGAGATGGTGGGAGGGTGGTTGGAAAACAAGTGGGAGAAGGAAATGGGCTGCAATGGGGAGGCTGGGAGGGGTGTGCAAGGAGTGGCCAGTCCCTCCTGTTTGTTTTTCCACCTGGAGCCCTGGCAGAGGGGAATCCCTTCGCTGCTTGCTGGCAGCCTTGCTCAGACGCACTCAGTCATTCACGCTGATTAAACCTGCTGTTCTAAGCCTCTGTGTGGGCTCAGAATCAGCTTCACTCCACTTCCATGAGGCAGCGGAGTACAGTGGTCAGAAAGGCTCTGGACTGCCCCGTGCCTAGCTCCACCACTATGTGGCCCCAGGCCAGTGGCTCGGTTTCAGAGCTTCAGTTTTCTCTTCTGTAAAATAGGGGATACTTCCATCTGATTGGGTTGTCTGGGTGATTGGATTAGATCCCACATGCGCTGTGCTGGGCTCTGAGACTGGTATATTGGGTAGGCTTTGATAAGTTAGCTGCTATTGTTCATTTCTGTGATTGTTGTCACCAGCCCTAGCCACAGATTGAGTCCATATCCTGAGCTGCCTGTCTTGGGGACATGCTCACTGGAGAGGGCGGCTGGTGCACCGGAGATGCCATGCCCCGCCCCCAGCCCGCCCCGGGAAGCCACATCATTCCACGGTCAGCCTCCCGGCCGAGGCCCAGCAGCCCAGGTGTCAGTGCAAGCTGCACTCCAGTGGCGTTTCTCCTTGGCAGAAACTTCGAAACCAGAGGAAGACGTTTCTCAGGCAGATTCAGGCGGCATGCCAAGTGTCAGACCCGAGGCTTATGACGCAGACTTAACCTGATGATCTCATGGAGAGCGAAGAGAAGCCTCAGCTGAACTCCAGACCCTCTCAAGGTAGAGAGAGGGGCTGAGGGTGGAGGCTAACAGCGATCCCACCCCACCCCCAGTCTTACACAAAGCTTCTGAAGACAGAACTCTGGTTCTTTCCAACAGAACATCCCAGGAACAGGCCTCCAAAAGCTGTGACTTCCTCCTCCTGCCCCTCTTCCTTCTCATGAGGAAGTCACCTGGATGGGGGTGAGGTGGAGACCCAGCTGACCTTTCGACTCCTGTTCTCTCCCGGCCAAATGAGAACTCCCGGAGCCTCTGTGCTGTGGTGGGCGGGCGGTGGGAGGCTGATCCTGGGCTGGGGACTTTCAATGGCCCCTGTTGTGGACCTGACCCTATGCTACGTTTACTGTCCCCCGCTGGGAAGGCCCCAGCAGGAGTTCCGTGCGCAAGGGGAGGAGGGCGAGCATGAAAACAAAGCGAACAAAGGCCATGAGTTGGCAGAATGGCGTCCTGTTTAGGGGCACAGAGCCACCCTACGGCAGGTGGGCGGTGGTCGCTGGAGCCCAGACCAGCGAGAGAGACCTGGCTCAGAAGTAGGGTGGAGCGGGATGCGGATGTAGGAGGATCCACCGGCCTCTGAACAGGGTGGGGAGGGACAGCGAGTCCGCGGGTGCTGGTGGGACCCCGAGGGTGAGCACGTTCACCCTGGAGACTGCAGCGGAAGGGAGGGAAGTGGCTCAGAAAGGCGGGAAGCGGAGGCGGGGATAGGCACTGAGCGAAGGAGTGTTCTCTCATCCTCCGAACACTTCTCTGATGTGGGCGTTAAGGCCGCTCGAAGTGAGGCCCCTGAGAGCGTCAGGGACTTGCCCAATCCCTGCACTGTGACTTCTACTGCGGGTTCGTCTCCCCTCATCTGCCGACAAAGCCACTGGTGGGAGGAGACCTGTGGACTGTGCGGTGATAGTCCAGCCCCGCAGAAACCCCGCTTCACCGTCGGCGGTTTCCGAGCCGCACGTGACTTGTGTTTTCATTGACTTGTCTATTTTATTTAACTCAATAACCTTAAAGCAGCCTCCTTCCTGGAGGATTTGTTCATCCGCATGTCACCGTCTCGCTGCCGAGTCTGCAAGCAGGAAGGAAATGGGCAGGTCCAGAGGCCACAACATCTGTCCCCTGTGTGTCTCCTAAAGGTGGGGAGCGGGGACACTTGTGACTCACGAGGGGACTTGGCTTCGCTTGGACTTGGAGGGAGTGGCCACCCCGGGAATGGCCGGAAGTTTGGACCGTTGGCCCCACCCGCGTTTTGGGTGGGAGATGGTGCTGGCCGGAGGCCGCCCGCGGGCCAGGGGCTGCGCCGCATCCGCGGCTCCTTCTGGCCCCTCCAGATGGAGGTGCCTGCGGTTTGACGCGCCTCCGGAGCGCGCCCTTGTCGCCCTCCAGTCCCAAGGGCAGCACCTGTGGCTGATGAAAGTCTTTACTTGTTGGCAGCTCCTTTCAGGGTTACTTTTTTTTTCCTGTTTCTTTTCCTTTTTAGGCCTGGGGGTGGGGCTGGGTTGGGGGGAGACCAAAGGTGGAGATGTGCTGTTTTGCGCAACTGGCTTGCCCGCGCGTCATCCAAATACCAACTTCCGTTCGCAGAGGAAGTGAGAGGTGTCCAATTCGGTCATGCAGAACGCAGCTGGGCTGCCTGAAATGAAACGCAGTGGCGACTCTGAAGGAGGTGTCACCGTCCCTGGGCCGGTGCAGGATTGAGTCACAGCACACGCCACTCCCACGTTAAAAAATACCAGGCCATGGTCCCAGAAAGCTTGGCCCCTCATTCGGGTCATTTCCAACACACTCCCCGGAATCCACAAGTAAAGGGAAAAGAGAAGGGAAGGGAAGAGGAAGAAAGGGAAAAGTTCAGGATGGCTAAGTTGCCAAGTGAGTGGAGAGCTAGCCAATAGGAGCAGCACTTGAGTGTGGGACGTCCCGCCCCCGACCCCTAGCTGTCTGTCTGTCCGCCACCCAGCCTGGCTAGTGGTTATGCCCCTGGGTCACCTTGGTTACATTCTAGACCCAAGAACAAATCCAAAGACTCGCAGTGTAGAGTTTTTCCTAAATAATAAGTTTAAAAGTACAACATTATGAAAACGAGATTAAATACAAGGTGAATATTTAGACCAGGGGGGATCACAGCAGTTTGCTGAGGCCGGAAGTTGAGGCGTGTTTCTTCAGTGATCTCTTCAGCCACTTTACCCAAAATGCACCACAGAAACGCCTCTTGTTTGTAACCTGGCTTCCCTCCTCTGCTTCCGACACGAGCCTGGAAGCTCCTGTACCTTCAGTTTTACAGTAAGTGCACCTCTGGCGAAACTTCAGAGTCAACAGGCTGACAACTGTGAGCCGTGGGCCCAGAGACATCACCCAGGGTGGGTGTTCGTAATCCTTTTTGGGGTCCTGGTCCCATTTGAGAATTGAATGAGAGCCACGGACCCTCCCCAGAAAATGCATAATCCTTACACCCACTAAATTTTATGTACAATTCTGACCCTTTTAAAACCTACTGATGGATCCCAGGTAGGGACCCCTTGATCTAGTGCGATCCATTTATTTCCCAGATGAGGCAACAAACACCCTGACAGGTGAGTGACTTGCTCAAGGTCACACAGTCAACTGGGAGCAGAGTCAGGACTGGGACTGAGCCCCCGCCCCCCCCCCCCAACTCCTGCACTGTAACAGCCTTGCCTTCCGCACTAGACAGAGAGTGGGGTTTCCGGGGAAGGAGCCCCGGAGCTAGGGCCCCGCAAGAGTCTGCCTCGTACCTCCTGGTTTCTTTTGTAGACATGTATTTTTGCCAGTATAGCTCAGAGAAAGTGAATGACGGCATTGAAGCAGAAAGACAGGCAGGAAAAAACAAAAGGCTGCAGGATCTGGGTTTCAGTGCAATGAGAAATACAACAGAGAAAGAGAGAAAGCAAGAACCGGGGGCTGCACTGTTTGGTATTGGAGACTTGAACCCCGGGGAAACCCAGTAAAAGTCACATCAGATTGGGCCACGACTGAGCTCCTGGCCTCTTCTCACGTCTCTCTTGTACCCAAACTGGGTGATTGGTGGCCGCTCGGTGGCTTAAGCCACATGCTCGCGGGTGTGGTTTCTTCTGACTGCACAGCTTGCCCCTCCCCCAGCCTCAGCAGCCCACCCGCCACAAGGCTGCACAGCTGCCTCCACAGTCCCTTTGAGTCCTCAGCTAACTTCGGGCCCTGGTACCTCCCATCTCGGCACCTGGTTCTTCTCTTTCGGAGCACATAGTGTCACTTACGGTTTTGTATTTAACTGTTTTGGGTTCGTGTCCCTCAAATAGACATTCAGTGCTGTGTGAGCAGGGACTGGGCCCTCGGTGCCTCTGAGTGGCATATGGAGAGTCTCCATAGTCACTGGCTGATGTAAATAAAGGGTGGCATCTGCTGGTTTGGACCAGGCACCTGGAACAAAAACAGCCTGCTGGCCAGCTCATTTCTGAAAGCCTGGCCAGGCCCGCCTGCAGCTGGGAGCTTGCTTGAGCCTTTAGCTCTGGGCACAAAGGGCACATGAGCAGGTGGCCAGTGGGCAGAGGCGCCCGGCCCCTCAGAACAGGAACGCCAACCAAGCAGGCCCAGTGGTGCTGCGGCACAAGCCGGGCTCTCGGTGTCCTTGAAGTGGGTTCTGCTGCTCCGCCCTTTTCTCTGGGGCCCGCCTCTCTAGGGAGCTGTGAGGGTCTCCCAAACCCCTAGTTGGCCAGCTCACCAGCAGTTGTGCCCGGGGCTGCCAGCCGAGGTCACCTGCAGAGGCAGATGGCACAGGTAGATGTCCCCAAAGGCTGCAGTGCTGGGAATAATGAAGCAGCTCGGGAACCGTTTCCTCTCCTGTTTTCTGGGCCGCCTGTCTGCAGACAGCGGTGCGGCCTAGAGAGGGCAGCCTCTTACTCAGACCCAAGTGCTTTTTCCTTTCATTCCATTTAATTTGGGGTAGAGTGTGTTCTTCTTCTTCTTTTGGGCTCGACCCCCACCACCCCATGACTGATGCTGTGTGCAATCCTCCCCAGAGCCAGGGAGCCTCCACCGATTCTTCTTTCTGCTTCTTCGCAGCACTGGGCTGGTGAGGTGGCAGAGGGAGGATTGGTGTGGCTGAGAAGCACTGAGGTACAACCTGTTTTTCTCCTCCTAGACTTGCTGCCTGGGGATCAGCGGCTGTGGGTGGAGAGAGCTGACACCGACTGCAGGCAGTTTCTTCTCCCCCTCCCAGCTTCCCAGCAGCTGGGGGTGGAGTGGCAAGAGGCCAGGGACTGGTGAATTCACCTTCGCACGTGGGCGCCTGCTCCCGTGAGTGCTTGTTTCCTCTTAGACCTACTCCGGCAGAGTGGCCTCCTTGTTTCCCCCAGCCTGAGATGTAATCATCGGAAGGAAATTTTCTGTCTCCCGATAAGATGCCAGATACTTATTTTCTTGCACCAATCACCTTTGCAGGGGATGGGGAATAAGGCACGCCAGGATGCTCGAGCTGCTGAACAAAGCTGATTGGTGCTGGTGGGGCGGGGGTGCAATGCCAGAGCTCGCAGTCTTGCCCATCTTCCTTGTCCTCTCCAGTTAATCATGCTGTGGCTTTCGGCAGAGTCCTGCAGTCTCAGTGGATGTAAAACATCCTCAAGGGCAGAGTGAGAGGGCGTCACCACAGGACCCCATGGCCTCCCTCCCTCCCCTACTCACCCGGTGACTCTGTCTTTGATCACTGCCTCATGGCTGTAGCGCTTTGTCTCTGTTCTGGCAAACCGCCTGCATTTGCTCTGTCACAGCTTCCCTAACCTCCCAAGGCCAGTGCATCAAAAGACAGTCACCATTCTGCACATAGTGTTTCTGCTCCCGGTGAGTGGCAGGATGTTGGGGGGGGGGGGCTGTCAGGAAAATGCCTGAGCAGAAACAGTTGGCTCTTAGCGTAGGATCTAGCGCCGGGCATGCATCACAGCAGGGCTCCATACGGCCTTGTCACAGGCGTTAATGAGCGCTCAGAATTCCTCCAGGTGTGAGAAGTGGTGTGAGGCAGATGTGCACACAGCCTCTGGCCTGTGCCCAGCTCTGTCCCCTGGCTCTGCCACTTGCCAGCTGTGCAAGCTTGGGCATGCTACTTGATCTCTCTGTTCCTGTGTCTCATCTGTGAAATGGGGATGATAATAATCATAAACAGTTATGGATAAAGCAGTTAAAAATACTGCCTGGCACATAATAGGTACCATATAAGTCTTTGCTATTATTAGTAAGATTAGGAAGATAGTTACTCTAAGGAGTCGAATGTTACTTTTTACCAGAAACTGGATTTCCTTATATTGTAGGCATTTACCATCTACCCTCACAAGCCCCTTCCACACACAGGGACCCATCTACTGCAGTAGTCGGCAAGCTCTTTCTGCAAAGGGTCAAATAGTCAAATATTTCAGACTTCACAGGTTACACAGTTCCTATCACAACCACTCAACTCTGCTGTGGTACCATGAGAACAGCCATAGTCGATATGACAGTGAATGAGCAAGTATTAAATAAGGTTCTAATAAAACATCATTTAGAAGCAGGAGGCTGGCCCTGGCTGGTATGGCTCAGTGGATCGAGTGCTGGCCTGTGAACCAAAGGATCACTGGTTTGATTCCCAGTCAGGGCACATGCCTGGGTTGTGGGCCAGGTCCCCAGGAGAGGGCATGCAAGAGGGAACCAGACAGTGATGTTTCTCTCCCTCTCTTTCTCCTTCCCTTCCCCTCTCTCTAAAAATAAATAAATAAAATCTTAAAAAAATAAACAGGAGGCTGGCAGGATTTAGGCCACCCCTAAGGCAGAACTTACAGAATGCTTGTCAACTTGAGTTGTAGGTTGGGCATACATGTTGAGAAATCTACTGTAGTTTCTTAGGGTTGATGCAACAAATCACCACAAACTTGCTGGCTTAAAGCAACAGCAATTTATTTGCACACAGCTCTGGAGTCCAGAGGTCTAAAAGCAAGGCGTCAGCGGGGCTGCGCTCCCTACAAAACTCACAGGGAACACACTGTTTCTTGCCTCTCCTAGCTTCTCACGGTTGCTGGCATTCCTTGCCTTGTAGCTACATCACTCCAGTCTTTGCCATTGTCTTTTACACTTCTTTATGCTTTTTCTTCTTCTGTCTCTTGTAAAGACGCCTGTCATTTGATTTAGAACCTGCCTGGGTAGTCCAGGATGATATTATCTCAAGATCCTTAACTTCTTCTACAAAGACCCTCTTTTCAAACAAGGTCACATTCACAGGCTCTAAGAATTTAGACATAGATGTATCTTGTAGGGGCCACTATTAAATCCACTATAGTATCTTGTAGTTTTCACTTTATATTTAAAGTATTTCCTGTGTCATTGAACAGATCTCCAAAAACATTATTTTTATGGCTAATAATAGTCAATACTTTGGATACATCATCATTAACCACAGTGTCCTCTTGCTAGACATCTAGAGCGCACGACTGTCATAACAAGGATGCGGTGCGTGGGCTTTAGAGTCGGACGTTCCCAGTAAAAATTCTGGGTCTCCCATTTACCAGGAATGTGACCACAGTCAGGTTTCATGAACTTTTCTGAGCCTCCTTGTAAAAGAAGGATCACGACACTTATGGAATCCCTTGGGAGATCCTGTGAAAGGATGTATGTAAACTGCCCAGCAGCAGAGAGTTTGGCACTATAAGTGCTTAGTAATTTGTAGCCACTATTGTTTTATTGCCACTGATGACAAGTCATTTACTTTTATTAGTTTGGATTTATAGAAGTACTATTTCCGAATTAAGGGATGTGAACAGGTGTTTAAAAAATATTTATTTATTTATTTATCTTTAGAAGGGAAGGGAAGGAGAGAGGGAGAGAAACATCGATGTATGGTTGCCTCTCATGTGTCCCCTGCTGGGAACTGGCCTGCAGGGAACTGGCTTGCAACCCAGGCATGTGCCCTGACTGGGAACTGAACCGCGATCCTCTGGTTCGCAGGCCTGTGCTCAATCCACTGAGCTACACCAGCCAGGCCTGGGATGTGAGCAGTTTTAAGGTTCTCGGTTTGTTTTGTCAAATTGCATTCCTGTAATATAAGCATCAGCAAAGACGCTCAATCTTACCCAGTGCTACACAGTAACTACTCCCACTGGGCTCTGCTATCCTCCTTAATCAACAGATAAGACTTTTACAAATACCTGTTATGGACCAGGGTTAAGCTTTGAAGAGCTTGCTGTCCTCTTGGGGCAACCCAAATGCATACATGAAACAAGACAAACCGAAAAATAGAATTCATTAAATCGGCTCACGTGTTGTGCCGGCTACTACCCTGGATGGTGGTTATTATCCATTGTAAACAGTACAGGAATGGTCCTTGCCCTCAGACAGTGTATAAGCCAGTGGATCAGAACTGGGGTCAGCACTTTATTTCCACAGCAGAACTCGGGGGGACCAGGTAGTGAGGGGAGACTTCGGGAAGCAAGGACTAGAGGAGGAGGAGTGGGTGGGCTTGGAGGTTTGTGCCTCACTGCCCCCCAGATGTCTTACGGAGAGTGGAAGTGGAAAAGGGCTGTGGCGATTCCGTTACAGAAGACTTGGACAGCCTTGAGCACTGGCCTGGTAGGGGAGGTCATATTTGTCTTGCTTTAGAAAACAAGAGACTTATGAAACTTCCTGAGCAGGGAGAGGACAATGAAAGGCATTTAGGAAGAGTGGAGGGGTCTGGATGGGTCAAAACTGGAGCCAGAAGACCAGCCATGCTTTGTGCTGTGAACCTCATCAGGCACGGCAGCGTGACTCGGTGGCAGTGCTTCCGTTACCTCGCACAGGGAGTCCTGAGCCCGTCTCATGTCCTTGTCCCTCCGCCCCCACCCCACATCTCCTCCTGGTGACTGATACCAAATTCGAGGGTTGCCATTGCTTCCCGGGGCCCTGAGATGCGTGGGTCCGACGTGTTCCAGTCCTGGAATGCATTGGCCTGGTGCTTTGTTACTAACTGTCCAGGCCATGAGTGTCCCCAGGCCAGTGACTCTTCCAGGAATTTATGATGTTCCACCGTGATGTGCTCCCCAGGAGGAGGCAAGTACCTGATAATGGATCGCCTCTGTGTTCGGCATATTCCAGTCAGTGGTGGCAAGAGCTAGAGGAGGGAAAAGAATGTGGGGGACCCTGAAGGGACTATACGGAAGCTCCCACGTGTGCGGAGAACCCCTATCGAAACCCAACTGTGTTAGTTCAGGCTATTAAAACAAATTGCCAGAGGCTGGGTGACACGTTTATTTATTTCTCAAGTTCCAGAGGCTAGAATTCTGAAGTCAGGGTGCCAGCCCGGTCAGAATCTGGTGAGGACCCCCTTCCAGGCTGCAGATGGCTGACTTCCCCTTAGATCCTCATATGGCAGAAAGGGAATGAGCTGGTTCCCCAGGGCCACTTTTATAAGGCCACTTCATCCCACTCATGAGAGCTCCATCCTCATGGCCTAATTACCTTCCCCAACCCCACCTCCTAAAACCGTCATATGGAGGGTTAGAATTTCAACATGAATTTTCACAAACATGTAATCCACAACACCAACCCTGGGGGCCAGCTTCTGAGTCACAGGCCCAGTGGGTAGATTTGAGAGACTGGCTCATTTAGAGTCTCCACGGGTCACAGAAAGAGGCACTTCTCCAATCTCCTTCCATTCCTGTAAATTGGGCCTCAGGTGCACCCCCTGCGCAGACTGGAACCATGACTGTCCAGGGACACAGGCAAGCACCTGAGACAGCCACACAGTGACCCATGCTCTGGGGCTTTCCTGGGTTTCAGTGCTGGGAGAAAGCATGACATCCACTGGCCCTGAGCTTGGGGACCCAGGTGAGTCATCAGGGTCAGAGAAGGACTAGAGAGCCAGACCCTGAGCCACTAACTCTGTCAGAGTGTGGAGGGGCCAGTGCTGCGCAGGGCCAGGGTCATGGCCTGGGGTCAGAGCGGGCTCAGTGCCGAGCTCCTGCACCCAGACTGCCTACCCCCCATGACTTTAACAGGCCTCCAGAAGGTGGCCTGCCTTTTTTAAAGGTGATTTTCACCAATGGAGGGGGTTTTGGCTCTTTCTTGGCACATCCTTTTTTTATTTAACAGTAGCAATGTTGCTGAATGGGTCAGAAAAATTGATGGGTCCATTCAAACCTCAAATAAAAACAATTTGGGTAAAGCCATGGATGTCTGGGAAAAATGTGTCCTGGGAAGACTGCTCTCCCTACCCCACTAAGTATAAGTGCTGCTGAGGGCCAGAGCTGAGACGGAAAAAAGAGAAACTGAGGAAGATCTTGGCAAATGACCCTCATTTCAAGAAGTAGATTAAGGAGTTTAAACAGAATGGGTAAGAAAAGCTCACCAAAGAGTGTACAGAAAAGACTCTCGGGGGACAAGTAAAAGGACCCACAGGAGCTGGAACCCCTCTTCTGCCTAGACATGGTGGCACCTGGGACACAGTGGTGAGGGAAAGAACGACGGAGTGACCACCTCTGGTGCACTGAGATTCCTCGGGACACGCAGCTCCCTCGGGAGGGCTGGAATTTGTGAGTGAACTAGACTGAGCATGGTGCCGTCATAAGCTCCATGCTGTGATATTTTGAGCCCTGTGCTTGTGCTGCCCTTCCCCTGCGATTCTCCTCCCTGCCCTCTCATCTGATGACACCGTCACCACCCTCCCACCCACTTACTCACTCGTCAGTAAGTTATGAGCCCTCGGAGTGTGCCGGGGGCTGGAGACCCAGCTGTGAACGAGGCAAACAGAGCACCTGCCCTCCTCGAGTTCACGTGTGGGAGATGGTGGAGTTTGGGGGTGGGAGGTGGGAGGAAGGCAAACATCAGTTAATAGTGAATTTCATGGGGGGTTATCGCTGTGAAGCAGAAGTGCAGGGTGCTCTGAGCATGTGGAAGAATCCAGCCCAGTCTGGGGTAGTCAGGGAGGGCTTTCTTGAGGAATTACCATTGGGTGGAGTTCTGGAGGCTGAGTATGAATTAATGAGGTGGGGCGGAGGTCATGGCATGAAGAGGGCCCTGAATGTGTGCAGAATGTGTGCTATATGTCTAAGGGGGGGATTGCCTGTCGGAAGACATGAAAGACAGATGTGAAAGGTGGGACCCAGTGGGGTCCAGTGAAGCAGTGGAGGCGTGGGAGAGGGCATACAGTCAAGACTGAGTCAGTCCTCGAGGCTATTTACTTCAGAGAAAGAGAAAGAAGGGAGGGAGTCAGGTGGTCAAAGTGAACCCACTAGCTGAAGGTCAGAGTCAGATAAGGTATAATGGACCAGGTGTGTGAAAGCAATAGGGAATGGTGGGGATTGTGGAAAACTCAAGTATATGTATATGTATATGTATATGTATATGTATATGTGTATGTGTATGTATATATGTGTATATACATATACATGTGCCCAAAGATATTTAAACTTAAAGTATGTTAAAACTTGTTTCTGATTAGACAAGGCAAAATCTGGGGGTCAACACAGTTTGGGGTACTTGATTGTCAGGGAACAGTTTGGCTGGAAACAGAAAAATGTGGAGGAGAAAGCTGGGAACTGCTTGACCCTAGAACCAGAAAAAGAGCAAAGGAGCCCCTCAGGTTTTGTTTCCTCCCAGTGGTTGTCAGATAGTTAGCTCATCATGCCCCCAGAGCCCCCTCCAGCTTGCGTACTGGAGCTCACCTGTCCCTAGAGTCACCCCACTCTCTCCAGAAGCAGAGTCCAAAAGAGGAGAGTGGCAACTGCTGGCTTACCTGAATGGTGAGGTGTGAGAAGGGCCTGTCCCCTAGTTGCCATCACTGTTGGGTCCCCTCAGCTCAGTGAGACCGACAGGTTCCTATGACACAAAGATTTGAGGGTGGAGTGGAGTTGGGCACATAATCAGAAGAAACATCCAGGAAGAAGCTGGAACAGACTCAGAAGCTGAGAAAATAAGATCCGAGAATTGACCCGCTCATCAATTACTTCAGGGTGAATTTCCTAGCATAATTCTGGGTCAGTTGCATCCCATAACTGGCTCTTCCAAAACTCGAGGTGGAGGGAGCTTACTTGGGGACCTCCTCCACTTTCCCTTCATGGGCTTATCTTAAAAGCAATCACACACTGGATCAAAAAACAATTGCTGTTTTCCTCTTCACTCTGATTTAAACATCCTTCCACACGTGGAGAAGTTTCCTGCCCATGATCTCTGCTCGGCCGAGCAGAGAAAGGATGCTCGCTCTTCATGTGTTTGCTTTCCTTGCAGCTCTGAGCAAAAACTAAAACCATTTTGCTATTGCTTTGAAGGGCAACCCTCTTTACCTAACAGGAGGGAGTGTTTTCTTCTGTCTCATAAAGAAAGAGACAGTTTCAAAGTCCATTTCAACAGGTAAACATTTCTTAGCATGTGTGGAATTACTTGTTTCTACCACCCCCCAAAACAGAAAGTGGAGCTACTCCTGGAAGGGAACTCAGCTGCCCAAGTTAGGATTTTGAAACGACAGGCTCATGGGCAGCAAGTCCCCAAACATAGCGAGAATGTCCATTTCACTGACTGCCAGATGAGTACTAGGTTTACATTCGTATATCTGCTCTTTTTCTCTCAGTCCATGGGATTCCGTGGAGTTGACTTTGCCTGGAGCCCCAGAGAAGGCTGGGACCACCAGCAAATCACATTCTCCAGCTGGTTCAGGGACGATTACCTGACTAAAGACTGGCCAGTTAGAGTCAAGGATCCTCAGTATGGAACGTGGGTTTCAGTTCCTGGGGAAGAAGATCCTTTCCCTTTCCTGCTGTACAAAAGCCCAAGGGCCGATGGGGCTTGGACTGTTACAGCCATTGTGTCCCCACAAGCTGGAGACAAATGAGAATTCGGCCAATAGGGTAGTCCTCCCTCACCCCTGGTTTCTCTTTCCACAGTTTCAGTTTTCTATGGCCGACTGTGGTCTGAAAATATTACATGGAAAGTTCCAGAAATAAACAATTCATACGTTTTAAGTTGCATGCCATTTGATGATATGGGGCTGCACCCCTTGATGAAATCTCGGGCCTCCCCACCCTGTCCTGCTTGGGGTGTGAACCATCGCTTTGTCCTGTGTGCCTCAGCTGTGCCTACAACCTGCCCGTTAGTCACTCAGTGGCCATCCCGGTTGTCAGACCGTTTATCAGAGAGAGACCACATCCACATAACGTTTACTACAATCTGGTGTTGTAGCATTATCTTCCATTATTAGTTATTGTTGTTCATCTCTTAGTGCACCTAATTATAAATTAAACTTTATCATAGGTAGGTACCTATAGGAAAAAACACAGTATACATAGGGTTTGGTTTGGTCTGCACTTTCAGGCATCATGGAAAGTATCGCCCATGGATAAAAGGTGGCCATTGTATATGACAAGATGGAGCCAAGATAAGAAACTGAATCCTGATGACATCATTGTAGCCTTTGAATCTAGTGTTGCCTAAAGCCAGCCCTACTCCATGAGCTTCTAGAACAGAAAATAAATGTTCAGTTCTTCCCCAAGTCAGTCTGAATTAGGTGTTCTCCATATTCTGGACAAATATAAAGCAATGTGACTGGTTCCAGCATATGATTCCAGTCGTATCTACTCTATTAGTTTACAGTCATACCTTACTATATCTGTATAATGTTTTCAGCTTCTTAAAGCACCTTGACCAATGTGTTATTGCATTCCACCCACACCATTCTCAGGAGAGTCTTCCCACGCCTTCTCCACGCGCGGGGTGTCTCTCCCAAGCTGATGTGCTGGTCGGTACACGGCAGGGCCCTGACTTCTCGGCAGGCCCACAGAGGACCCCTCCCTTCCCACATCCTCTTTTTTAGAAATGAAACATTCAACGTTTAAATAACTACTCACGAAAACTCAGCCTAGAGAAGGTCATTGAAACACAGAGGTTCTTATTCACAGCAGCCTCATTTGCAATAGACAAAAATTAGGGGGAAAATCCCAGTGTCCAGCCATTGGAACCTCTGCATAGCGGGAGGTATGAAGCCTTTAACAAGGCAGAGCTAAATGTGCAATTTCCAAAACATATCACGTTGTATGTAGCATGCTATTGTGTGAGGCTTTAAAAAAAACAGCAAGGCTATACACACATGTGATATTACATGCGCATGGACTGTCTCTGGCAGAAACCAGTGACAGTGCTGCCTCTGGAGAAGGGGCCTGGGAGGCTGGAAATGGGGACACAGCGAAAGGGCCAGTATTTCTACCACATATCCCCCTCTTTACTTATATATTTCCTGCAGTGTGCATTTTAACCCATTTTATATTTTTAAATGAGACTGATAAAAAAAGAAATACAAGAAACATCTATAAAAATATGCCCATTTCAATATGGAGCCTCCACACAGGGCTCCGAGCCGATCTTACGACTCCCTTAATCATTATGTGCTGCAAACATTCCCCGCCCCCCCCCCCATTCTGTGGCTTGTTTTTCATCCTTTGTGAGCCTTTCCATGCATAGACTTTCTTGATTTTTAATGCTGTCTATATATATCATTGCTTCTCAAATGACCTGTGGGTGAGGAACTGCTTCCCCACTTCCTTTTCTCTCGGTGGCAATACCAGTATGTTCTAAAATAAGATCATTACTATACATTGGGAGCAAAAAAACAAAAAAGTGCTAAGACAATTGTCAAGGAAATCTCTGAGACTTTGACTTTTAATTCTCTGCTACGTTTCCTTCCAGCGAAGCACCTGTGTGGAGCCAGACACATTTAGACACTTGGCAGATGCTGCAGAATCTAAAGTGGGCAGGATAAAGCTATCGCACTGGCCTGGAATGCTGAAATCGGAGCACGACAGAAAAACATTCCAAGCTACCAGACATGAAAAAGAGGAACAAAAACTAGTGTAATGACAAACTGTCCTCAAGCAGAAAAGCCTGAAAACAACCAGATTACGAATGGAATACATCCCTCTCTAGCAGCTTTGCCATATGAACGGCCTCCCAGAATCAGAACGGGGAACAAAGTGATCTTCCTCATTTGCATGCCACCCGTCAGAATGCTCGATGGGTTTATCGTTTTGAGGAAGAAGTCTGCTAGCATCCGGGTTGGGAAATGAAAGCAGATTAATTTTAGATGCGACAAGATATCCCGCTTGTTCATGGCATTCTCCACTACAGTTTTGGTTTCCTATCATCCAACGTCAATTAATTTGCCCATATGGTAACTGGACTATTCTCTAAACTTCCAAGCTTTGGGGAAATAAATTCAGTGCGGCCTATTTTAAACAGGTCTCCTTGAAAAGCCACAGTGCACATTAACTGTTTGTTGAGCTCAGTTCTAAATGGGTCGCTCTTCTGGGCCCACTTCTCCATAATTAGAGATAGAGACAGAGACAGACAGACAGACAGACAGGCGGAGACAGGAAAAGTGAAAGCACTATGCTAGTCATGTCTGCATGTGCAAAAATTACATGCTCACTTTCCCTGATCTCTCCTCCCAGCTCTGATCTGGACAATAAGTGGCATAAAATCATTGTTGAAAGTGCTGAATCTTTCCTGACTCACGTCACTTTTCCACACTGTCCCACTTTCAGTTTGCTGGGCAAAAAAGGCGAGGAAATGGGAAGTGCCTCATAGTCCACTCGCATCATGAATATCCAGGTTGTGCGTGAATGTTAGTGTGAGTGTTGAATGTGTGGGCACTCGGTGGGGGTGTGCTGAGTGAGTGTGCGTGTATTGCCCATGTGTATCTGTTGAGTATGTGTGGGGATTGAGGTTGTGTGTATGCTGAGTATATATTATGTGTGTTGGGGGTGTTTGCAGGTTCTAAATGTTGAGTGTGTTGAATGTCCGTGTGTATTAACTGTCTTTGTGTTGAGTGTGTATATGCATTGAGTGTGCATGTTAAGTATGTATATATGTTGGGAGTATGTGTGTGCACACATGCCTGCAGGTACGTGAGTGGCAAAAAGAATAAAAACACACCCATGTTAGGTCACAGTATTGCGTCAGGAATCCAAAGGGCTGCTCCTGAACTCTGCTTTCTTTTGTGTGATGTGCAGCTCAGCCAAGTGAGACAGCAGAGGCCAGCTATTATTTATTTGGAAGAGATTACTTTGAGTAATCTGGAAAAGCAGAGAGGACACCAGGGCTGGTCTCCATCCCCAGCCGACACTGTGATCTCATGGTTGGTATCTTCTTAGTCATCTCTTCCCTCACGGGGACTCACAGCCCACTTTTGCTCCCTTTCAAGTGAGAAACTAACCCTTCGATATCCAGAGAGAATCAATCATGGGATGGGGCACATTTCACCAAGAAAGTGTGTGGGGGTGGGGGAAGGGCAATGGCAGCAAACTGACCATCGAGGCATCAGCTTATAGGCTCCTGTCCAGTTCCCAGGGTAACGGATATAAGACCCTCAACTGGAGGGAAAGCTCTTCAAGGCCTGGCATTTTCTCAGCCCCCTCTCCTAAGCTCTTCATCATAACAATGGTAATAGCTAACACCAGGCACCTGTTCCCTGCCGGCCGCTGCTGGGGCTTCACTCCAGGTAACAGGGTGCCATGTGATTAGGCCCTGGGGCCCTGGGCCTTCTCAGCCCGTGCCCCTCCTTCTTTGTGTTGTAGCCACACCAGCCTTTTCTTCTGTTTCTTGAACCCACTAAGTATATTCCTACCTCAGGGCCTTTGTTCTTGCCATTCCTTCTACCTTTGGCATGGTTAGCTCTGTCAAATGCTGCTGAAAGGCCGACCAAGTTCAGAACAGAGCAGGAATCACTGGACTGGGACAATGCAGACACCGATCTTCCGGACAAGTGTGCTCTCAGTGGCTTAGGGACAACAGAAGCCCAACTGAGAGCATAAAAGAAACAATGTGAATAAACAGACGGTAATTACAAAACCTTTTCCATGAAGGGAAGCAGAAAAATGAGGTGATGGCAAGAGAGAGATGTGGGGTCAAGGCGGGATTTCGTTTGTTTGTTTGTTTCCTTTAAAGGCAAGAGATAAGGGCATGTGTCTCTATATGGATGGAAATGACATGGGCCTCTGGCTCGGGGCCCAGATGCAGGGGGAGAGGGAATAATTTCTGGGAAGAGACGTTTCAGAGAGGAGCAGAGCAAAAACAGGATTTAATAGAAAAATTGCACATTGCCAGGTAATACTGAATTTTCTCAATAAATCTAATGCTCACAAAGTCCTATAAGGTAGATGTTATTATTCTTTTTATTTTACAGGTGAGAACTCCAAGGGCCAAAGATAAAAAGTAACTCTACCCATCACTCTACAGGACAGTGGAGGAGAGTTGGGGTTTGAAGCCGAAGTTCTGACTCCTGGTTAATTACAAGATCCAAGTGCAAGGTTTTGAAGGGTGAAAAGATAGCTCCTTAAGTCAGAAAAAAGCCAGAGTATGAGAGAAACACCTAAACCCAAGGCTCACAATGCAGATGCTAGAGAAACCGAATAGCTCCAATGACTTAAAAATAGGGAAATTTTCAAGATTTTGTTTAGTTGTGAAAAAATGCATCTGTTGGCAATGTTCTATTTCTCACCTGGCAGGTGGACACTGGTGTTGCCTTGTGTGCTGTTCTGCAGGTACATTTCACAACAGAGGTACAGAAGCGCACTGAACTGCCTCATTGATGGCAGATGATGTGCCATCATTTCCCCTCAAAACGCGGCCCAGCTTTTTAGTTCCCGATCCTGACCACTCATCAGAACCACCGGGGGACTTCTAAAATGAAGAGTCCCACCCAAAACCAGGGACTCAGAATTCCCTGGCACAGGGCCCTGAACATGTATCACCAGAAAGCTCCCTGTGATCCTAATGCTCAGCCAAAACTGGGAACTGCAGGCCTCAAGCACACCAGTCCCATTAAAGATCAGTGTTTCCTGCAATGTTGTCTCCTATGGTCTCTGGAGATGCTCAAGACATGTCATGCCGGACAGAAGGCTGGTTAATTCATCAGTGTCTTACGTTCTGCCCTACGTCCTGAACTTGACCCTATTCCTTATCTTCCTTCTGACGGTCTTATTGCTGTGAACCATGGAAATAAGAAAATATATGCAAGTACAATATATTATAACAAAAATCCTTTAGCTTAAACATCACATGATCCTAAAAATGACTGCATTTCTTCCTTCTCTTTAGCATTCCTCCCTCTTGACACCTCCTGGGGAAAGACCCCCACCACCCTGAGAAGAGAGCACGCTGGGAGGTCAGGACCACTGGTGGAGGCACCTGCACTTCCGTGGGAATTGACCGGCCTGCTAGCTGAAGTGAAGGCAGCAGCAGTTAGATGCTGCACCTGCTGAGAAGCCAGAGCAGTGTGCTGGTCGGGGAAGGAGGACCTCTTCACTCTCGTCTTTAATCTAGAGCCAGCTGAGAAGCCCCTGTGACTGGGGCCACACCTGGAAGACAAGGGCAGAAAGGTGAGAGCTGAGGTAGCAAGAGCTAAGGCAGCAAGAGCCGACCTGTGTTTATGATCACGACTCCCAGAAGCCCTACAGAAGCCAGTTCTGAGAGTATCTCTTTCCCTCATTCTCTAGCCTAGAAAGAATACAGCCACATCACAGTTCCAGTTGCTGCCCTTCCCACAAAAGGAGGAGAAAAGGAGTGTGAGCTCAGGACTTGCTTTGCAATTTGAATCTCAGGAATGCATAAAAAACAGCAGTACCTTCTGAGCAAAGAGGCTCTATTGAAACTTGATTCATCCCTGGCAGTTTATTGTGTTTCCCCCGCTCTCCTTCCTTGTGACACAGAGGAGTGAGGTGAGTAATGCTCTACACAGTGAGAGAAAAATAGATCCTCAAATGCCTTCCATTATGCTAAAAGCCTGTGTCACCAGCTGTGGCGGCAGGGGGTGTGGTCACCATCTATTACAGGGGAAGAGTCAGAACTTCTGACTCCCTCTCCAGGGCTATTTGTAGTTCTAAAAGCGCAACAAGCAGGAACTAAAAACTGATAAGCACAGAGAAGTCTAAAAGCCCTGCTGGGGTCTTATGAATCCCACAGGCCAGTGGTCAAAAGCCCTTGCACGCAGGGGCTCCCAAGGCCACACAGAAGGAAAACAGACCCACTTTCTGCTGCCTGGAATTGCTTTCCCCCACTGGCCTACGAACTACCTTCTCTTCCTGGAGTAAAAAAAGCTAGTATTTACTGAGTGCTTGTTACCAGTCAGGCACCGAGCAAAGCACTTTCTGTAGACTATGTTAACTAATTTGTGTGTGTATGTATGGGCACACATGTACCCCCCCAGGTGAGTACTAACAGCATCCTTCTACAGATAAGGAAACTAAGGCTCAGGGCATTTCAGTGACTGGCCCAGAGGTACCTGGCTCATGCAGGACACAACCCAGGTCGTCTTCAGAAGAGAGCTCTGAACAAACACTTGCACGTTGCATTACCTGCTTAGCTAAACAGAGTCATCTGAACAATGAACAAGAGAAGTTCAGGGGAAATTTCTGTTGTTTCATTGATTTGTTTCATAGATTGTCCAGGTCTTATCCTCGAGATGGGAACAAAGATCCATGACCCCAGGTGTCCTAGAAGCATTTTTGCTACCAAAGGCCTTCTAAAAGCAGGAAATGATTCAGTCATTGCCAGAGCGAGAGGCTGGCTAATAAGGTAGCAGCGGGCACCAAATCACAGGTAATTACGTGAAGCTTTTTTCTCCCTTTCAAAAACTTTTTTAAAAAATTAAAAGCCTCCATCTTTCCCTATGCAGGTTTAAAATACACATTAAGTTCCAGTACATCAGAAACACATTTTCCCCTTCTGGAACTGACCACGCTATCCTCTTACCCAGCTGGAACCAAGCTAGGGAGAAAAATAAATGTTTGTCTCAGTGGCATTGTCTTATTCAGCTAATTGATTTTTTAAAATAACAGTAATGCTTGAACATCCAGCCGCCTAATTACTAGCGCTTTTTATTCGCACTATCATTAACTTCACAGCTGCCTTGCCAGAGACAAGTGGCACCACAGAGACGTCAGCAGCAATGGTTAGTTTTTGAAAAGGTGGAAGACGTACAAAGGCCTGACTCCCCATCTGCCAAGGTCAGCAAAGGCTTCAGGCCAATTTCAGTAGCACAAGTGTCGACTTCAAATAGAGGAAGCCTCATGTGGACCATGTTGGGTGGAAGGGACCTTGGAGGGCCTCTGGCTCAATCCCTTTTGTGGGCAGGGGAGGGAACTTGATGTCCAGAGAGGGTAAGTGGTTTGCGTATGATCACACAGCTTCAGTGCTGGAACTGAAGCCCAGGCCTCCTGATTCCTAGATATTTTTTTAATTTTTTAAGTTGAAGTATATATACAGATAATTGTACATATAAAAATATGCAACTTGAATAATTATCTTTAAGTGAACACACTTATGTAACCACCATGCAGGCCAAGAAATAGAGCATTTAGCAACCTGGAAGGCCCCCTTCCATTCACTACAGTCTCCCCTCTTCAAAGGTAACCATGACCCTGACTTCTAATACAATAGACTACTTTGGCTTGGTTCATGTTCTTTTACTAAAGGGCTGGAGTTTAGCTATTTGGACCTAAAAATAAATCTTCTATTCTCTTGGAGTATATCAGGTAGTATACTAAGAAAGATATAATACACCTTCACCCAAGAAGCCCCCCAAACCCATTGAAGAAAGAGTATAGGGTCTCCCTTGGGAGGTATGAAAATGTTTGGACAATGGTTGGACAGCATTGTGAATGTAATAAATTGTTCACTTTTAAATGGTTAATTGTATGTTATATCAATTTTACCTCAATAAAAAACTCATAACTTAAGATAAGTGCATTTCATTATATGTAAATTTAAACTAAAAAATAAACTGTAAAAATATTCAACTAAAAAATAAAAAAGAGCATCTCCATAACGAGGCTCAATCCATTCCACATGCCTGGCTCCACAGTGCCTGGCCAGCAAGCCTGGCATGGGTTGCCACTTGCGGGTCTTCCTCTGGCTCTCTTCTCACTGCTCCGCCACAGGGCTCGGTCCTCATCCCTCCACAGAAAGGTCCCTTATCAGGGTCGTCTTGCCAAAGTCAATGGTTGGCTCTCTGTCCTCATCTTATTCAGCCTCTGGCCAGCACTCACCCTAGATGATGACCCTCTTGTTCTTGAAGCACTTTGTCTAGGCTTCCATGACATCATCATGTGTCTGGTTTTCTTCTTACCTCACCGGCCCTTCCTCATTCTCCTTTGCTCCTTCTCGCCATCTCTGAATGGTGCAGAGCCCAGGACTCTGTTTTTGACCATCCCTCATCTTTAGCTAGGTGACCTCCAGTCCATCCCTATGTCTGTGACTTGCAAATGAGTATATACAGCCTCAACGTCCCCCCTGAGCTCCAGGTGTGGCTAACTGTCTGCCCACTTGACATCTCTACTGGGATGTCTCACACAGCTGAGACAAAAATATACATTCTTTCGTACCCCGTTTGCTCCCCAGCTCAGCTTGCTCAAGTTTGTAAACGGCGCCATTAGCCATCTAGCTGCTCAAGCTAAAAGTTAGTCATCAGTGCATCCCATTGGCTCTGCCTCCAAAATGTATCCTAAATCCAACCACCTTCCTCCATTTCCATCTCTATTGCCTCAACTGTGGTCGAGTCCCACCATCATTTCTTGTCTGGACTATTTCATTATCTCCTAAAAGGTCTTTCTTTCTTCCCCCCATGTCTTCCTTCATCCAATCTTCACCCGACAATGGGAGTACTGCTTTTATTCATAAAAGATAAGTCAGGACCTGTTAACACTCCAGTGAGTGCCCGCCGCATTCAGAATAAAGCTCACACTCTCACAAGGCCAAGGGGTCTGCCCCAGCTTGCCTGTCCAGTGTCGTTTCTCTCCACTGCCCCCTAAATCAGCACACTCCAGCCACACTCACCTTACTTCTGTCTCCTGAACAGGCCGGTCTTGTCCCTATGTCGGGGCCTTTATGTTTGCTCTCCTTTTTGCTGAGAGCCTTCTTCCCTAGTCTTTATTTTTTTTTTTTTTTTTTTTTTTTTGGTTGTTTGCTAGCCCGCTCTCCGCGCGGCCGGGTCTGTTTAAACAGCTGCCTCTCCTTACCATTATGACCTCAACTCAAATATTTATCACCTTCTCCTTTGACAGACCATTCCCTGGCTACCCTCACTAAAAACAGCATCTCCTCCCCATGATCCTATTTAATCTTCTTGATATCTCTTATCTATAGCTAAACTTGTGTATTTACTGTTGACTTAATGGCTGTCTCATCCTTCTAGAATGTAAGTTCTCTGAAAGCAAGGACCCTATTTAATTCATGGCTATATTCCCGGTGCTTACAGCTATAGTTGGCAATAAATAACACTACATCTATATAAACTGACTGGCTGGATCTCATCAATGCATCTGAGAGGATGGGAAAGCAAAGTTATTTATCATAATATGGTCTCCATTATTTATCATTTCTGGGTGCCAAGCTGCAAGTATTAGAAACCTAATCCAGGTTGTACTTAGCAATGGTAACCAAAGACCAGGAGTGGGCCTGTTTTCAGTCACAGCTGGTATGAGAGACTCAAATTATGTCACCAGAATTGTCTTTCAACTTCTACTTTTCTCTCTTTGTTTTTGGTTCCCACTGGATTGTCTCCACTTGCTGGCAAGCCCTCTCCAAGCAGTGGCTTTTGCCAGCTCTGTGCTCACATTCTAGATTGTACAGTTCAGCAACGCCAGCAGAAAATGTGCTGCTTCTTCCTAGTGTTTCCAGCAAAATCTCAGAATTGATTTTCATTGGACCAACCTGGATCATATGCCCATCTCTGAACCAACCACTGTGTCTAGAAGGATGGGATATGCTCATTGGTCAAGCACAGTCACCCCTTCGTAGATGGGAGAGTGTGATTGGGAGGGAGTTGGCATCACCTGAGTCACATGGTTTGGGAACAGAGGGGAGTCTTCCAAAGAAAACTGCAACACCATCACCAGGGAAAGAGATGAACGTCACTGGGGGAAAAACGATGTCTGCATGACTGTCTTTTTGTTTCAGGGAACTGAAGTTTTTGTCAGTTCCAGAAGAACCTGTAATTTTGGAGCTTAAGAATGAGGAACTGATTGCTGCCATCTCACGGGGCAGCGTGAGGAGCTTACCGAACATTTACACACACTAGCCAGGTACCTTATCTCACAAGCCTCTGTGAAAACCGCTGCCCTAGACGGTGTTGTGCCCATCAGTCTCCTGTCTCTCGGCTGGTGCTGAGTGTTATTACTAAGGCCTGACCTCAGCACCTCACAGTCAGTGTCCTTGACTCCCGTTTCTCTGGTGTCAGCCTTCAAAGGCCCTGAGCCCTGCTACGTGAGGTCCCATCTCTTTAGGTCTAGAGGGTTTACCTTTGTTTTGCATCATAGTTAATCTTCCTGATTTTTCTCCTCACTTCATCTTGCTGGACCGACCCTTCCCACCTCACCTGCTGAATTTGCTTTCTGACCACCCAGGCAGAATCACCAGGCCTATTACTACCCAAATCTGTCCTTTCCCTCACCAGGTGATTTCTTCCTTAATCTTCAGTGATGGGTCTACTCACTCTTACTAGTATTCTCCTCCCCAGGAAAGTAATGAGACCACCCCATCACGTGCACAAAGAATACATTTAAGGCAGTCTTAAATGAGAGTCTATATCCTGCACTAAAATATCCCTAAGGAAGGCCAACTTCCAGTTTAAGCTGGCACCAGGCAATGTTTAAAGAAATGCTTTCACACAGAGGGAAGACCTGGAGATGAGCTGATCGCTACCTCCTGTGATTCCCTTTCACCTACCTAGTCACAGATGTCACTCAGTATGTCATCAGCTTTCACTTCTTCAAATTCCACTCATTTATTAAAACCAAGTCTTCCTAACTCTTTCAGATCGTTACTACCCATTTGGTCCTCTGAATTACCTGTCTTAGTCTCTGGGGCTGAGAAATGGTAACAAGAGCCCTGTAGTATTCTTTTTGAGTCATAAACTTGGAGACAAGTACTCTTCATGATCTCACTTGTTGTTTCCTTTTCCTTTAACTGCAGAAAGTCACTTTGATGATCAGCTGAATTTCTAAGCAGTGGTCCTTCCGAACAGGTGTTGTCATTCTACCTACTTATGTTGGTTGAACCCATTCCCTTTCTGCAAAAGGAGAAACATAAAGCTTATTTCTCTAGAGAAGCTTCTAAACTGACCCACAAGTGCAATGTCATGCAGTGTTATTCTCACCAGAATATAAAATTCAAGATGATGAAGACTTTGTTTAGTTACTTGGCATATATAGTACTCAATGACTACAAGTTCATTCATTCAACTAATGCTTATACTAAACATTCTAGTAAAACATTTTACTAAATATAGAACATTTACTAAAGAGAGCAAATGCCAGGTGGGTGATACTTGGGATTGAAGAAATAAAAACAAGTGTATCTGGGAGGATATTTCAGCCACAAGTGACAGAACTGTCTTAAACAATTAGGCATTTATTAGTATTCATAAGATGAAGTCCAGCTTTAAGTTAACTCAGGTTTGCTCGATCCACCATTAAGGACCAAATTTTTTTTTCCCCCACAAGTTCTTCCTAAGACTTGTTCCCTCTGGGGAAGGTAGAGAGGGGAGGGGGAAAGGTCACTGGTGGCTGACAGTAACAACTAGGGTACAGCAAGAGAGAGAGTAAAACTTCCTATAAGAGGAAGTCCCTCCCCAAAAGTCTTTAGCATTCTTCTGGCTTCTCAAAGGCCAGTTTCAATCCTGAACCGTGGATTTAACCTCAGACTACTCAGTCCCTCACCTCATCCTGGGGGTGGGTGAGCTGCCCCTGAAGCAAGGGAACTGTGTTGAGGAAGGGTGGCCCTCTGAACACACGGAGGTTCTGTTAGAAAGAAAGGGAGTAGGAGCTAGGGGGCTAGGGGTGGGGTTAGGGGGCAGCATCAGTGTTCATTACAAACCATAATTAACATTTATAATTAAAGTCTATAGTTTTAAAAAGTGGCTGTTTAGATATCAGCTCATGGAATCCTTACCATAATGGTAAAGTTGTAGTTCTCAACCTGGGTTAAGTCAGATTTATCCAAGCAGTGATTCTGATTCAGAAGATCTGTTCTGGGGCCTGGATAGGGGTGATTCTGATGCCTAGCTTGCACTGCACACCCGTGCTGTAAGCGAAGTACCACCACCCCATAGGTGTGCCGATAAGATTTCAGCTTGGTCCCTACCCTGGAAAGCTTACACTAAATGTCAGTGAAGAAATTTAACATATGTGCCAGAGGAGTTCAGGGGAGGAAAAGCTCCCTCTAAGCCAGTGAGTTGGGAATGGCTACTGGGAGAAAGAGGGACCTCCCAAGAAATAAGACTTGAACAGGGAACCCTAGGGAGCAATGTAGCCAGAAGGGCACAGCATGAGCCTAGTAGAATACGATGGAATACTTGTCAAATTCATGTGTCATGATTGCCAGAGGACAAACTGATCTCTGGTTTGTTGCCACATTAGTGTGTGAGCATGGGGAGTTTTCTCATCTTGAACCACTGACTGGGGAAACTGAGGCTTGTTTTCAGGACTCAGTGAATCAGGGTGTCTGATATTCCCAACACTTTGCTGGAACTATTCTCCAAGCTTCCTCCTCGAGCACAAAGGGGATTTTAACAGACAATGATTGGGGCTTTCACATATTTGTTTTAAAAATTAGCATCATTGGATGGAAAAACCCTATGAGATC